AAAAATTGAATCTAGCTAAATCCTAGTATATTAGACAGACTTAAATAAATTCTATTTTTGTATGTCACTCGAGATAAACTTTGAACATTAACTTATTACTTGCTACAGTGGGCGGGGTAGCGGTGCGTAGGCGCGTGCCAGCCTACGAGATCTCGTAGCCAATGGCGTAGCACTTCGTAGCGCGTAGGCCGTAGCAAGCAAACATGTTTGGAATCACAATGCCTCCCCTTTTGTTCTCGTATTAGTAACTTTAATACCTGAAAGGTGAAGAAATTAAGGTTTTGTGTTCAGGTATTGATTTTGGGGTAGAAGCAATTAGATGTTTTATTCATATTCACTCAGCTCAATGGACGTTAAGTTCGATTCTGTCGGTCATCTAAAGTGCCTTGCATTATGTCTACTAATTATTAGTTGATTGCTCAAATATGTCTTTAATAAATAAAGTGCTCTTTGCTACGTACAATGTCAACTGTTAAAAAGTACATGGAAAGGATAAAAATAAAAGAAAGCATGTATCTTGGGTAAGCGTTCAATAGAGCAGCTAAACTGTACTATTTTTATTCAAAGGATAATGACTAGACGATATTAGAAATGTTATTTTCGCTCAATATAATTACAGTTTCCGCCATTACACCCGATATCACAATCAAATTAAAAAATCAGTTTAATTTTATACAAAACACGACCACAAAAGCCTGATCGTTGGAAACCGCAGACGAATTCCCGATGGATTAGCGATGTTCACCACACGCGCACATTTTCATCGCAAAAGAGTATAAAGGGTCAAAAATCTTTTTGTGTATACACAAAAAGCAGGCATTGTCCTCAAACTAAGTTTTTGTTCACGACTTCATTCGCATAATTGTTTCTTTCTTCTATGAATGGACAAACCTTTGGCTTATTTACATGTCTTAAGCGTTGTTACCACACGTCAAGATTTTCTATTGTATCATTGGTATTTTTACAATTTTGTATGCATATAACCCTGAATAGCAGTTTGTAAATAAACATTTTTTTAAGGGGGGAAAATCATCGAATGACTGCTCCCGCCTGGGTGAGGCGGGAGGGAGTGTCAGACTCTTACTGACTAAAAACCACCCCGTTCCTTCTCCTGCACGTCGAGCCGGAGCTCCGGTTACCCGTTAGGTTCTCCGCGACTTGTGAATAAACACTAAGAATGATTCTGCGGGAATTAAATACTCGATGCATTTTTTTTATTTTTGGATGGGACTGACGTTTGACCCATATCTCGCCTGATGGTAAGCGATGATGTGGCCTACGATAGAGCACATCGACCCATAAGCAACATATTCACTCGGGCCTTGAAGACACCCAGGTTATAAACTTCAGGAAATACAGACTCTGGCAAAGAATTCCACTCCTTAGCAGTAAATACACACAAGGAAGCTTGATGCGAAGCGCTTCGTGCGTGAGGGTGGGACATCTCCTATGAATCGGTAACGCTTCGCCGATTGTCTTGTGATACGATGATGTCAAAGGACGATGGGGAATCATGTTGTGCAATTCCCCGCACACTCTTCGAAATGTATCCGGTAGAAGACTTTGACAATTGCACAGCAACCCTTCGCGTACCTACTGCAAGAGTCATGTAGTCAAATAAATCATACATACAGTAACGCATCTGTTCCTACAATTATACTGGTTATGGTTACGTATTCTTTACATAACATAACATCACGCCTTTTATCCCCGAAGGGGTAGGCAGAGGTGCACACAGAAGTAACA